GGAAGGCTGAGGCGGAAGGATCGCTGAGCCCAGCAGGTCGAGGCTGCGGTGGCCGGGAGCGGCCACTGCACTCCAGTCTGGGTGACCGAGTGAGACTCCAACTCAAAAAAAAAAAAAAAAAAAGCAGTCAAGCCATCAACAACAAAAAAAGATGTACATACAAGGATGTTGGTCGTTATAAGTTATTTGTAAGATTTTAAAAATCAGAACACAACTAAATGTAAAGCAAAAAAAGAAGGAAAATAAGCTATATTCGGTCATACGAATAAATATTATGCAACCATTATAAATTGGCTTTTGAATAGCTACTAACGCAGGAAATCTCATGCTAAATCTTAAGGGAAAAGGCAGAATATAAAATCTATACTTAGACTCACATGCACACAACATTCAAAAACATACACATAAAAATTATACAAGGAAATCCGCCACAAGTGAGAATGGTTAATTCAGGGTGGTGGGAGAACTGGTAATTTTTATTTTCTTCTCTTTTTTTCTGCAGTTTCTATACTGAATATCTAATCCGAAAATTTACTTTTTAAATATTAAAGAAGACTATTTATTTCCACAATTTGCTTGAGATTTATAGACTATAAGAACTGAATAGAAAAAAATAAACCATGGGGTGAAACCTGATTTTACTAATGAGGTAACCAGAACCCAAAGAGATTAAGTGGCTTGGCCCATCGCAAGTCATCTTTTCCGAGCTCCAAACGGAAACAGCCGTTTGAACACCTCCTTTTCCTTCTCTCTTAATAATTCCAACCCTTACCACACACACACACACACACACACACACACACACACACACACACACACACACACAGCTTAAAAAGCTGAAGGATTCACCTCCTTTTCCTTCTCTCTTAATAATTCCAACCCTTACCCCCCCCACACACACACACACAGCTTAAAAAGCTGAAGGATTTCCTTCCTTCCCCAAATTGGCTTCTGTTCTAAAATCTGAAAATTTCTACGGGATTAAACAGAAAAGGCCCACATCCCCTCTCCAAGACCATTAGAGGGCAGTAGCGAGTCAGGCCTGGCGGCACCCTAAGCACAGTGGATAAACCACAGTGAGGACAGTCATCTTTTTTGGCATCAGAAGCAGACGAATCTGCTTAAAATCATGCTGGCCCTGCGATGCCAGTCTTCAGCTTTCTCTGTCAAGCACTGGCTCAAGGAGCCTTTGAAGTGGGGCACTCTGGTTCCCATCCACAAGAGTAAGAAAGGATGACACCCCAGGGAACCTCCCAGCAACAGCTGCCAATGCTTGTCTGAGCAGCAGCCCATAATCACCTCATTTTCCTGCTCCCAGTGCTGTCCAGGAACTCTCTGGCCTCCGGCATCCTGGGAGGTAGCACAGATGGAAGGCTGGAAGAACGCAGAGGGAGTGCATCTATCCAAGCGGCCAGCTTCTGACGCTGGTCCCCGAGGTCCCAAGCCCTCCAAAGATAAGAGAGTCAGGCGAGAAACCAGAGCCCAGTACTCTTCCGCAGAAACAAAAGGTCAGTGAAATTTGGCAGGCCTCCCTGTTCCTGAATGATTCCCAGAGGACGGTGAGTTTGGAAAGTGGGCCAGGCTGCAGAGTCTGATTCCTCCCCTGGTCTGTGGGATGTGTGAAAGTGAAAAATACAGAGTTGGGGTACAGTGTTCACCCTTTGCCATTGATTCCCATGCAGTAACCTTAGCCCAGTCTGTGAGTAGGGTTCTGCTGTTGAGTTTTAGCCTAGGTATGTATGTAGGAAGGAGATGACCCAGGTTCACATCCCAGCTCTGTCACTTACACGTCAGGTGCACCTGCACATGTTCCTTCTTCTGCGAAATGAAGGAATTAAGAATAGCACCTGCTTCGGTTGTTATGAGGCCTTACCTGGTCCCTGACTATGATTACTGTTCTATAAATATTAGCTCTTGTCTAGCACTAGTAGTGATGGAGATAAAGATCTCCAAATACAGAGCTTTTCCATCCATATTTCATAAGCCAGACTGACATCCTGGGACCTTTACAGTGAAGAAATTTTCTCTTACTTTGAAGACCCCCAAGAAGTTTGTTGCCCGCTCATTCCAATCAACCAAGGATTAATGCATTAGAAAAACTCCCATATCAGACAACTAGAAGTTATCTCTAAAAATCTGCCCAAGTCATGGAAACTGAAGTGAATTCCTTTCCTCACCAAAGCTGCTGTTCATGGAAGTTCTTCCTCAAAGGCAAATGTACCAGGGTTTGATATGAAAGTTTCTGAAATACGGTATCTACACTTTTATAAGTTACTACAGCATAGTAGAAAGACCAAGTAATTCCTCATCATTGATGGATGCTAGGACACTTATACTGAGATGAATTAGTGAGGCACATTGTGTTTTCCAAAGATGGGTGTGACAATATCTACTACCACATTGGATACTTCTCCCACTGAGAAGTAGGTTTTGCATCCTCTCCCAGTGAATCTGGGAGGGCTTGCATGATGCTGTGTGGCCTCCAGGGTGAACTCATACAAGACAGTACAGCTTCTACCTAGTTCTCTTTGAGATGTTCGTTCCTGGAGCCCAGCCACCATGCTGTGAGGAAGCCCAAGCAGCCTCTAAGAGAGGCCATGTTATAAGGGCTCTATCTGGCAGCCCCAGCTGGGGTTTCAGTCAACAACCCCCTAATCACCAGACATGTCAGTAAGCAATCCTTCAGATGATCCCAGTCCTCAGTCTGGGCACACCACCCCATCTTTCCCCGGCACCCCAAGAGTTAGAAGCCTCGCAAACCTCATTTCTAAAGTTATCAACTCCTGCATGAGAACAATAGTTCTTAAAATATTTTCAGTGGAGCGCATTTGCAGTCCCAGCTACTCAGGAGGCTGAGGCAGAAGGATTGCTTGAGCGCAGAAGTCCATCGATCTATACTTTAGTTTTTACAAACACTGTCATAGAATTTCAAATATCAATAAAGTAGATAAAACTGGTGCTGCCTTCATTAAAAGGGGGGGACAGAAACTGGCCGGATGTAGCTGTTTCCTGACAGTTTCCTCCCTTATCCAGTTTCCTGGGTCTCTAGGGAACCCTGCTGGAAAACTGCTGAGTGCTCTGGGACTACAGAAGTCTTGAGGAAAGTGAGCAACCTCAGATACCTTCATGGCTTTTGACTTTTACACATAGCTATAAAAGCAGCCTACTAGATGTAATTGTCCTCAATATTTCAAGAATCAGAGGATTCTTCTCAGCACATTTATATATAATAAGCCCACTCTAGAAATTCTTCCAAATACACCCATAGACACCCTCACCTCCTCACACACCAAACCCTAAGACCCCATGGTGCCACACGTATCTGTACACCCCAGCTTCCACAAAGATCTCCAGACTCAAATAGAGGGGCCAATAACAAAGTGTATTCTAAGGGTGACACGGGCCCTCTCCAGCTTTGGGGTGAAAAGGTCAGTGAAGGGTACTGGCTGGCTCTTCTGTCCCTCTTCAGGGGACCTGGAACTGGTGAGGGAAAACCTCATCGGATCCCGTACCCCGTCTGGCTACCTGCCCTTGGCGTTCTGCTTCAGGTAACTGGTGTAGCGTGTCAGGAGCAACCTCTGGAAGGCATTGCTGTAGAAGGCCCAAGCTGGGATGAGGCTCAGGAAACCTGCCTTGAACAGACAAAAACATGAGTGTGTGGGAAGGAAGAAGAGCAGGGAACGTCCTCGACTCAAATCTCAATTCATGTTCATGTTCTTTACAAATATCTTTTCTGGCCAGGCATGGCGGGGCACACCTATAATTCCAGCACTTTGGGAGGTTAAGGTGGGAGAATCACCTGAACCTGGGAGTTTGAGACCAACCTGGGCAACTTAGTAGGACATTGTCTCTACAAAAAATAAAAAAATTAGCCAGGTATGGTGGTGTGCACCTGTAGTCCCAGCTACTCGGGAGGCTGAGGCAGAAGAATCCCCCCAGGAGGTCAAGGTTGTGATGAGCTTCATGCCACTGCACTCCAGACTGGATGACAGTGAGACTTCTACTCAAAAAAAAAAAAGAGGGAGGAAGCCTTAAATTAAATGTATTTCAGTCTATAGGCACAGTTCAGAAGATTTCTTGCCCTCAAATCACACCTGTGTCCCATAAGAAAGTTCCGGTACACGGGAAGCAATCATTTTGTCCACAGTGTGACCTTGTTAACCCAACATTCCTCAATCCACCTACTCCCAAATCAACAGAATTTCGACCAGAGGGAAACTTAAGCGTTTCAGCGAGCTGTTCCTATTTTTTCAGGCAACTCAGATCCTCAGATCTTTGAGCTCCTCCGAGATAGTCCAAGACAAGGCACTGAAGACAGAGTCTTGGAGCCAGAGATGAACCCTTCTTTCGCCAGCCAAGCCAATGGGTCAGCTCAAGACCTTCCTCAAGGACTTCACGTGTCTCACAGTTTTTGAATCTCATAGCAAATTCAAGTCCTTTCAGTAGATCCATCTTGAACTAGATGTTTTGGCATAGTGAAGTCAGCCATAAAGAAAATGAGTGAAAATTCCAGGCCCCTTGGAAAAGCTTTAAAAGGGCCTTTCTTCCGTCTCCTTCTTTGTGTATCCCCTTCCAACCTGGAAGGGCCATGGAGAAGAAGCAGGAAGGGCTGTGGCACCAGACAAAAGTGGACTTACGTCCTAGCTTCCCCATCAGCAGCTGGTGGCCTTGAGCCAACTGATGCAGCTCTGAGCTTCCGTTTCCTCTATCGTGAAAGGGGGGCCCTAAGACCCATCTCACAAGATTATTAGGACAACCAAGTGAGGAGCCATACAAAGCCTCCAAGTGCAACATGGACACTATAGGGAGGGGTTAATCTTCCTCAGACCCAGGTCCCAAAGCTCCCCGTGGATGGGGAACATGCTATATTGGTCTCTCCTCCTTGTACTGAAAGGACCACTTGGTGACCCATTGATTCTACTTGATTCCCCATCACTTTAGATACAATTATCTTTCCAGGATCTAGAAAGATCTCAGCAAGTTCCAAGTTGATTTTAATGATCAATGCATTTTTATTTGATTTTTCTCCTGCTTCCCTAGGCACAAAAACTCTTTTTACTAGTCTGTTCTTGACGTCTGTTTGCCTAAAGAGATTAGAATTGGTCACCTAAGAAACTAAAAGAGAAAGTTCAAGTAAATACTCAACTTCGGACATTTAGAACTGGATTATATAGCAAGACATGTGCCAATAGCCTTGAAAGCCAGGCTACTGTCTCAAGAAAACATCTTCCAGGTGCTGGTGAGTTCCATTTAAGCCATCAGCATCCTGGAGCATTACGGTCACAGTTCTCCTGTTCTCCTGAAGATAGAGGGGCAGCTGTGACACCAGGAAAGGATACAAGAAGTCTGTGCTTTTTCTGCCCTGAAGATGGTGGGAAGTAGGAGGCGAGAACGAGGGAGAAGTGGTCAGAAACGTGCCCTCTGGTAGATGTGACCTGGGGACTGGAAGATGGGAGCTAGGGGAAAAGGACTGAGGAGTGTGATACATAAGTAAGGGTGGCCCTGAGGGCAAAGGAGGAATAATTGTCACACTCTCAGAAAATCACCTCAGTATGGTGACACAGGTGCTGATACTTGGTTTCTCAGCTTCCCTTGGGTCCATATTGGTGCTGATGCAGAAAGGAGAGTCTTAGCCTTCTGAGCCAAGGCTGCAGGTGGACTGCAGGCCTGTAGCTGCAGGGGAGTGGGAGGGATGTGGCAAAGATTCGGGGACCTGCAGCCCTCAAGAGCGGGGGAGGCTCTGGTCAGGGAGTCCGCTGGCCAAGTCAAAAGGAGAAGAAGATGCGTCTCCCTCATCCCCCATAGACATAAACTTCAATCAGGTGAGGGGCCATCCAGGTAGATGAAGGTGGACACCAGTCCACACCCACAGAAAGACCAGAGTGGATGAGCAGGACGCCTCTCCCCGTTGCCATCTTAGGCAGGAAACAGGGAGGTTCCTGAGAGGACGGAACATTTTCCTCTAAATAACAGACTGAGAGTACATTTCCTAAATGGCCAGTGTAGATTATCAGATCAAACTAGTTTAATCTTATTGGACATTCAGTGAACCTTCCTGCAGCAAGTGGTGATCTAGAAAAAGGCCAGATCAATGATAGAAAAAAGAAAGATTCTATGTTCTTTCTGTACATCTGCTTTGAAGTGTGAGTTCAGTTGGTGATTCTGCACATTGCTGAGGTTCTATGATAAAAATAGCAAGTAATCATATAAGAAAGTTCAATGTCTCGTGCCAGAGTCTTCGTAAGTCCCAGGAAGTAAAAGAATGCTTTGGGAGACTTTAGTCCATCAAGCCATGAATCCTTCCAGCATCCATGAAAGAGAGACAGAGGGAGAGAGTGGGCTAGGGAGAAGAAGAGAGGGAGAGGGAGACAGAGAAAGAGAGAGATATCTAATTTCCACAGGAGAAATGCCAATAAGGCAAAGGAGAAGCTGGGGGCAGCGGCTCACGCCTGTAATCCCAGCACTTTGGGAGGCAGAGGGAAAAGGATTGCCTGAGTCCAGGGGTTCAAGACCAGCCTGGGCAACTTGGCAAAATCTCGTCTCTACAATAAATCAAAAAATTAGCCAGGCGTGGTGGTGTGCACCTGTGGTTCCAGCTACTTGGGAGGCTGAGGCAGAAGGATCACTGAGCCCAGTGGACTGAGACTATGGTGGCTGTGAGCGTGCCACTGCAGTCCAACCTGGGCAGCAGAGTGAGACTCCTATTTTTTTTTTTTAAAAAAAGGCAAAGAAGAAAGAAAGTTGGCAGATGATGTATGAGTGAGAAAGAGCCATCTAAAAATTCTTTGGTTGGGCTAGAAACAGAATTGCATTGACACTGTGTTTCAGTATTTGTGTGCAGTGCTCAAGTCTACCTTTGTTTCATGTTTCTGTTTGTGTTTGTTTTGTTTTGTTTTTGGTTTGTTTGCCTGTTTTGAGTTGGGGTCTCACTTTGTCACCCAGGTGGAAGTGCAGTGGCACGATCAGAACTCACCACAGCCTCGACCTCCTGGGCTCAGGTGATCCTTCTGCCTCAGCCTCCTGCGTAGCTGGGACTACAGGCACATGCCACCATGCCCAGCTAATTTCTTTATGTTTTGTAGAGACAGAGTCTTGTTATGTGGCCCAGGCTGGTCTCAAACTTCTGGACTCAAGCAATCGCAATCCTCCCACCTTGATCTTTAAGTTGCTGGTATTATAGGCGTGAGCCACTGCACCCAGCCTTTGCTTGTTTTTAAAAGCAGCCCAAGAATGGTAAGCGTTTCTTGTGCCGCGTGCCACTGATTCCTGTCTCTTTGTGTGATGGAGTTCACGGTGTACTGAGCCAGCTCGTATTTGCTCATGAGAGCCTGTCACTTGCACTCCTCAATTCCTGTGCACGGATGCTATGTTGGTCGCTTAAAACCAGTCACGGTGGGGGTATTTACATCATGGATATCAAATGCTGCAAATCAAAGTGATTTGTTTTGACTTGGTTTTATTACTCTGGGGAGCTAATAGCTAAGCATGTGCTGGAACAGAGGGCCGAGGAGGATAGCAGCCCCCACATGACACTCCAGGTGCCTTGGTCCTCCCTGCCCAAGAGCCCTGTGAGTCACCCTACTTTCTGGGGGGGAAGGTAGCCAAGGACAAGATATGCCACCTTCATCATCTAAGGTCACCCAGGCCTCTGGTCCTCCCCGTGCTGCATTACTGCTTGGGAGCATACCCTCCCACATCTGTCCTTGCCACAAGAGAGAGAATTGTTGAGTGTCCCAGCAGCTAGGAAAGGCTAGCCACACCTTGCTAGGGCTACCTGCACCTCTCCCCTCCCTGGCTTCAAGAAAGGAAGAAGCAGTCACTTACCAAGACCTCGTGGGCAAGACAGCCACAGGTTTCGTCTCCAATAGTGACATAATTCAGTGATTCTCTGACAAACTCCTCGGCAGTCTTGGTTATTATGTTGGTATTTAGATACTTGGTCATTGCCGTTGAAACAGCATATGGAGTCAGCACCTACAATGAGAAATAAAGGCCACAGCACAGAAGCATCCATCCCAGAGAAGGACTCTGAGAGATGGATACCCGTTTTCCTATCTGCCATTTCTCGACTCATCTCTTCGTGTAAAAAATGTCAGCTTCCTCCATGATAAAAGGCACAGAACTGGTATCAGAAAGCTTGATTTCTCAAGGTGGGGCCTCAACCACCCAACGCCAGCGGCCCCGACGCCCTCCCCAGCACACAGGGTGACTGAGAGGACCTGAGTCATTCCTCAAAGCAGAGTTGCCAGACTTAGCAAATAAAAATACAGGCCTCCCGGTTAAACTTTAAGTTCAGACCAATAATGGAAAAACTGTCAGCATAATTTCAAAATGTGTCAGTATGTCCCAAGTACTGCATGGGATCTATTCATACTGAAAACTATTCACAGGCGTCTGAAATTCAAATTTAACGGGATGTCTTGTGTTTAATCTGGCAACTCTCTCTCAGACATTTATTTCTAACAGATAGGACCAAAGTTGGAGCAACATAAAGCACTGCAGATTCCCACTTTCACACGTCAGTTAGGAACCGAGAGCGGCACATGCCTCATAATCTTTTCCTGTTGTGGTAAGAAAAAGAAATCACCGTACATTGTGCCCTGAAAACCCAACACCATGTTTCCACCTGTGGTCTAACCACATTGTGGCCTGGCATGAGGATTCATAATGGGGTTTTATGACCTTATTTCCAGACACAAAGACCTTGGCACCTCTAGAAAGGAAAAAGGTTCCTGCTAATCTTCTTGGTTTTATTTGTTTTTTCACATCACATTTGAAAAGACATTTCCTAATTGAATCCAATTATGGGTCAATTAATCCAATTGACTTTGTTTTTATGAAAATTAATGCTGATTATTTGCACACTTTCTTTTTTTTTCTTTCTTTTTATTATAAAGATGTGGGGTACAATTCAGGGTTAGGTATACAAACGTTGACTATGCAGGTACCCTTATTGATGAGGTATGCCCCTCCCTCCCCTGGCAGTTTCCCTCAACTGCCAAGCCCACCCCCTTCCCCTGACAGTTTCCCACTACTGCCAATCTCTTTCTTATAGCATTATAATTGTTCAAGATCAGCTTATGAGTGAGAACATATGGTACTCTGTTCTTTGTTTCTGTGACAGATCACTGAGTATGATTGACTCCAAATTCATCCAAGTTGCTACAAAATCCATATGTTTGTCCTTCTTTATGACTTCATAATATTCCATTGTGTATATGTGCCACATGTTTTTTATCCAGTCCAACTTCGTTGGGCAACATGGTTGGTTCCATGTTTTTGCTATTGTGAATAGACTGACAAACATAGAATTTTGTAGAATGATTCGAGTTCCTCCCGGTATATTCCCACTGGGGAAATTACTGGGTCATATGGAAGGTCAATTTCTAGTTCTTTCAGAAATCACCACACTGTCTTCCAAAGCGGTTGCACTAGTTTTAATGTGCACACTTTCTTCGAAGGGTCTCAAAGTGTTACTCTTTGAGAAATATAAGGAGCATGTATTCTCAACCACAATTTCCAGAGAGGAAAATAAGTATTTTCATTTTTACAGCGAGTTTTGGCCGACAAAACGCGTTTATGTACAAAATAGGTCCCCAATAAATATTGTTTAAATGTGTATACTTATAAGGGAGACACAAAAAACCCCAGAATTATCTTTTGGAGGGTGGATCCCTTGAGATACAGGCTTCCCCCGCTACATAAGTGTTCTAGGAACCCATCAGCATTAGTGAACCAGCTAGCGTTGTTATGAGAGGCTGTGTTGTGAACGGAAGAAAAATCCCGAGTTGTGGCAAACAGGTGACTGGTTTCTTCCACCGTGATGACACACCTGCCCATACTGTGCTGAATATTCAACAACTTTGGGCCCCAAATGGCAGAACCGTCATACCCCACCTTCCCTGTTCACCCGATCTCCCCCCAAGCAACTCTTTTTGTTTCCTCGGACGGAAAAATTCCTCAAAGGAAAACAGTTTGCCCGTGTGGAAGATACTAAAAGGCATCAAAACTGACACATTCAAAAACTGTTTTGATCAGTGGAAAAAGCATCTTGATGGGTGTATTGCTTTAAGCGGAGAGTACTTTGAAGGTGATTGAAGTTTAAACATGTAAGAATAAACACACAATTTTGTATGAATAAGTGTTGGCTTTTTGGGGTCCCCCTCATATTTATTCACCTCCACTATAACACAGAGAAGTAAGCAGGTATTATAAAACCCCTTTTATAAGTGAGGGAACTAGGGCTCACAGGGTTTAAGCAAGGTAGCTAGGTTCACTCGAATAAGTAGCAGAGCCAGGATGAAATTCAAACCCAAGACTATGGTACACACTTCCTCATTCATCCAACAAATATTTATTGAGCACCAGCTGTGGGTGCATGTGGAGGGTCCAGTGGTTTTGTTCTGTTTTTAGAGCTAGGGTCTGGCTCTGTCACCCAGGCTAGAGTGTAGTGGCATGATCATAGCTCATGGCAGCCTTGAACTCTGGACTCCAGTGACCCTCCTGCCTCAGCCTCCTAAGTAGCTGGGACGACAGGTGCCAGCCGCTGCCACCACACCAGCTGCAACTGGTGTCTTTTTACTTTCTCATACTTGCTAGGAGAGCACCTCCAAGGCCTCAGGGCAGGGACACCCATTCCCTACCCCTGTCTCCTCCTGACCCTGCTGCCCCACGGAACCCACTGCCGAGGCAGCTGTGGTCCACAAGATCAGAAGGATGCTAAGAGTCTCATGGTAGGAAACAGGTGGCCGTGGTAACCATTCGTGTTTAGCGATCACCAAGGGTTTCCGGTTCTTTGTTCTGCCAGACACATGATAGAATTGCACTGCCTGGTCCTTGTGGCTGGGTGGGACCACGTATCCAGATCAGGCCAGTGAGTTATGAGCAGAGGTGACAGGTGTCATTTCTAGGCCAGAACTCTTAATCATCACGGCAAGGTCCTCTAGAATCTCCACTATTTTTCTCTGGCATGTCAACTGATAATATCCGGGATGGCGGCTTCTCTGTCTACCTGGATCCCTGCGTCACCACCAGGAACTAATGGCTTCTGCCAACTCACATTGGACGTGGGGTGTGAATGTAAAATAAGACATTGTTGTTTTAAGTCACTGAGATTTTAGAGTTTGGTGGTGGTGATTGTTGTTGTTTCTGCTGTCAACAGCCTGGGCCGAGAAGCACTTTGGCAAAAAGGCAGTCCTAGCCGGGCTCGGTGGCTCAGCCTGTAATCCCGCGCCTTTGAGAGGCTGAGGTGAGTGGATCACCTGAGCCCGCGGGTTCGAGACCCGCCTGGGCAACTTGGCGAGACCTCAT